TCGGGGGTCCGGCGTTCCCAAACCGCCCTGCCCCCTCCACCCTTTCCGCACGGGGGTCCGGCGGATTGGAAACGCCGGACCTCCGACACCCGTGCTCGGTCGGGGGTCGGGCGTTCCCGAAACGCCCTGCCCCCGCCATCCTTCCTGGGTGGGGAGGGGGGGGGCATCGGAATGGAAACCCTCGACGTCCTGCCTCGAAAGGATGGCGACGGTCCGGCGGATTGGGAACGCTGGACCCCTCGACCATGCATGGTTGTCTGGTATGCAGCATTCCCGAAAAGATGGCGGGCGTATGGCGGGTCACGTGCCTTCTTGAATGTCTCGGACCACGTGCAAGTGTTTCTGTGTGGTGCTCATTGCTGTTCTCCTGCCCGTCTTTGTTTTGAATTTGCCACCGGCAGGTAAATTTGGTGCGCCGACCTCTGCTCAAAATAAACGGAACGGCAGGTCTAAGACTTACAACAACAAACCGTGGGCTCTTGACTGGGTAGGCGGTTTGCATAAACCGGGGTGTGGGGCTGTTATCTTCTTGAGCGATGACAATGGSGCCACTTGGTACTGTTTTGGGGGTGTGGAGAAATCCGAGGCGGGCAGGAAGACCTACGAAGGGAGGATGTTTAGGACCTTCTTCCTCACGTCCGTCTTCGACAGCGCTGGGACGGACTGGGTCAAGGAAGACAAGAAGGTCTCCCTTGACCTGCGTCTCTTCCAAGGATACGGCGTCAAGGCTTTCTCCATGAAAGCGTTTGACGTGCGTGGGGACGGAACTGAATTCCGAATGCTTTCTCCGGAAGGATTTCTCAGCAAAACAAATGTCAACCGCGTCACTGGCTGCCTTCCTGTTGTCGACAGTTCTTTTCGGATGAGCAAACCTTTGGTCCAATTCAACAGTCCGATGGACCTGCTGCCAGGTGTGGTTAAGCGGTACAGGGAAGACTTCTCGAAGCTGCCGCCTGATCAGCAAACGGACTGTGTTTTTTTGCCCTTCGAGGCGGGTTCCAAGAGCAGCCGACAAACGCCGTCCGCGACGACAGGGAAGATAAAGAAGTTGCCGGGTGGGCCTTCGGGCGCGAATCTTCCCTCGCCCTCCGTGAGGGGAGGTCGTGATTTGGCTCAAGGTTCAAGCGAGGCAACGGAGTTTGATGACAGGCTTCTGCACCAGCGCAATGTTGGCCGTGAGAATTCCCAGGGCAGTGCAATTGCCCTGGACGAGGACAACGACGAGGACGAGGAAGGAGGAAGTGCTGGGCCGCATGACGACAGCGGTAATGAAGCAGATGTGGAAGTTGGGGATGACAACATGGAGGACCAGGGCGGGCTTGCTGACGAGGACGTCGACACGCCAATGCATGGTCATGACATCTCCCCCGCCGGCGTTGTGGGAGCCGCTATTGGTCAGCCCTCGACGTCCCGTGGAATTTCGCTATTGCAAAGCAGGAGTAAGGGTGGGCACGACTCACATGCAATGGAAGGACCGAAGGCGAGGAAAAGAACAAGGGAGACTTCTCCGTCTGCTTCTACTCACAAGAGGCAAGCCAGGACTGACGCTGTTAATGAGGGTCGTGGAGCTTTGACGGCGTCCCAGGAGGCGCGGCCTCCTCGGAAGAACAGTCAAGGGGGGCGATCTGGGGGTCAAGGCGGTGGCCGTGGGGGCGGTGGCCGTGGAGGGGCGCGGAAAGGCTCCCAGAGGGTGAGACCACAAGAGCTGTGGGACTCGGGGGATGAGGGCGAGGGAGTGGATCCTCGCATGCCCGAAGATGCTGATGAGCCGGTTCAGCGCGTCGCGCCCATCGATACTACGCGTTGTTTCTTCCTCGAATACGACGACCAAGGCTTTGCTACGCAAGACGTCCATGCTCTTCACGTGGACGTCATGAGAATCAAACGCATTCCCCGTAGAAGGATTCTTTTCAACCACCGCTCGTTGTCTGAAAACATTGTGCGAAGCATCGAGAATGCCATCGAAAACTCCATTAGCACGAACCCGGGGGCGTGGGATAGGCCCGAGCTTGTGCTTGCGCCAGTTGACCGCAATGACATTATCGGCGGTCAGGGAAGACGGATCACGCCGACCGAATTCTTGGAAAGGGACCCGGCAGAGTTCGACTGGTACGCTGTCTGTGGTCAGCATACCATTGAGGCCATGAAGAGATTGGTCAGAAAGGGCTCCCCAGCAGTTAAAGTTTATGGCCTCAACGCGTACTCTAAGGTGCGGGTCGTCTATTTCGGAGATGATCAAACACGAGGGTATTTCAATGTCTC